GGCACACAGGGACACACACACTTGCTCCCAGGCCCCAGGATGCTGCTTTTTCATTATCTTCCATGTCGCTTCTGCAATAAAATTCTTTAATTAAAACATGAATATTTAAAACAACCCTTGAGAGAAACGGCCCCATCTCACTCAAGGCGGAAAAATGCAAAGGGAGGCAGTGTCGAGATGAGGGCCAGAGAGAGCCGGCAGGAGGGGCCTGGCAGCCTGGGGGGCGGTGGGGCGTGGGGCAGTGCAAGGTGGAGGGGAACAGTTGCTTGGCCTGAGGAGTGTTTGCAGAGTCTGACGCATGACGTGGCCATGTGGCATTTGGACAGGCCGTGTCGGGGGCAGGGCTGAAAATGGGCCATGGGCTGGCCTGGGCTGCCTGCTTGCTCCTGCACTTGGCTGTGCGTTGCCTGCTAGAGACAGCGACCGGATGGACAAGCCCGTCCCAGTGTCCCCGGGGCCCACAGCCAGGGCACAAAGCTCTCTGGGCACAGGTCTCAGCTGGCAGGATCTGGGGTCAACCCTGCCTCCGCTCAGCTATGTGTCTGCTGAATGGTCACCTGCCTCTCTGGTCCTCATGACACCCCATCCCCCACACGCACACGCACACGCACACGCACACACGCACACGCACATGCACACACGGACACATACACAGTCACATACACTCACACATTCACACTCATACACATGTGCACGCACACACGCTCACACATTCACACACATACGTACACGCACTCACATTCACACACATGCACACATGCATGCACACGCACTCAGTCACACACATGCACACACACATTCACACACAGGCACACACACACACGCACACACACTCACAGCTCTGAGCAGAGCTCACTGCAGAAGCCCTAGTGTTACCACCCGGTGGCAGCATCAAGTAGCTCTGCCATCAGCCTTCCACTTACAAGCCGTGTGGCCCTGGCCGCTGCCTTAACATGTCTGTGTCTGGTTTTCTCCAACATGGACTGACTGAGTGCCTGCTGCTCCCAGGTACTGTTCTACACTCTGGGGGGCATGTCAGGAAACCGGCAATGCCTGCTTTGTGTTGCTTACATCCTGGCCTGGACAATCAGAAGTGGACACAACAAATAAGGGAAATTATGCAGTGTGTTGAGAGGTGACACATGCATGCAGAGACAGAGGCAGGATAAAGGACCAGAGAGTGGGGCCAGAGCTGCTGCCATTTTAAACAGGACGGTCAGGGTAGCCTGCACTGAAAGGTCCCATCTGCCTGAGGACTGGAAGGCGGGAGCCCCGCGGGTCTCTGGGAAAGACTGTTTTTGGCAGAGGGAACAGCCACGCGAAGGCCCTGAGGCAGAGGGTGCCTCCACGGGAGCTTATCTCAAGGGCTGTTCAAATGCAGGTGCCTCCAGCACAAAGTAAACACTCAATAAATGACTATTACTACTGAGATCACTTTTGCTCCTGTGGTCCTGGAAGCATCAGGGCCTTCTGGGCACAGGGCATGGGCACTAGGCTCTGAACAGTCTCTGGGCCCGGGTGACCACGTTCCACTCCCTCCTGCACAAGATGACAAGCTCCCTGCTTCATGTTGCCAGCAGCTGAGTCAATGTACCCTCCAGCCATCTTTCCATAAGGCCAGTGGCCCCTGCCCCACAGCCTTTACCTGTGTTCTGTCAAAATTGCTGCATAGAGCCCAGCCTCGATACACATATTCACACCATGCATGCATGTGGCGCACACAAGCACGTGTGTAATATATGCACGCATGCACACACACACTTGCACCCACATTTACATGGGTGCACACACACTACATATATGCATGAGCACATATGCACACACACGTATGCCATGCATGCAAACATGGGCACATGCCACACTTGCACACACACATGCGTGAACACACGTGCACACACAACATACTTGCATGAATACATGCGTGAACACACATCCTCCCACGTCCTTCTGAGCACCACTTCCAAACATTCCCTTTCTCAGAATCTCCGTGCACACCCCAAGCTGCTCGAATATCCCTGCCTCCCGTCTGTCTCTGCTCCCTGAGCCCTCTAGAGTCCCCGTGCCTAAGAATATGAGAGGACATTGATATTTCATCGTCAACATCGCTTCTGCTCAGAAACACTTCACCCCTGTTCTCATTCCTCAGGGCAATCTAGGAAACAAGGTATTTTTACTCTTTCTGTTTTAAAGATGAGGGGCCTGAGGGGATGAGAGAGCTGATGGAATTGGCCCAGGGACACAGCAAGCTGGATCAGGCTGGGATTTGAACCCAGGCCCTGGGGCTTTGCATATGTGGCTCAGAAGCTATTTTCAAGCATCCATTGCCCCCCCCCCCCCGCCCTGTCCTGGTGCTCCAGGTGTCAGAGTTGCCTGTTCACGTGACACTGCCAGCTGGCTGCCTCACGGGCAGCTCACACTCAAGTCCCACTCTGACCTCCAGATCTTCTTCTCCCTGCCACCCCAGCCCCACTTCCTCAACTCAGCCGACATCCTCCTTTCTGGTGGGACACCTGGGAGGAGCTCCATGCCCATGTCCACATCCTTTCATCAGTAAGTCGATCATCAGCTGCACCCCCAAGGACCTCCTCTTCCCTCCCGATGCTGCTGCTACGTCCTGACCAGGCCAGTGGCAGTCCCCTCCTGAATGCCTGCACCGGCTGCCAGCCTGTCTCAGGCTTCCCCTTGGGGCTGGCGTCTGTTCTGCACTCACAGCCCAACCATCTGGCTCTTCTGCCCAAAGCCCTGCTAAGGCCCTTGGGTTCCCAAGATAACGTGGGATCTCCCACGGGAGGCCCGACCACCTTACACCCCAGGGTGCCTGCACTCAGTAGGTGCCCAGTGAGGAGTGAAGCTTGGCGCTCCCTCCGACACCCACGTCACACGGTGCCCCAGCCTCTCCATGCATCACATGCGTCTGTCCCGCCAGCTCTTTCCAACAAGCTCCACGCTGCTCCGAGCACTATTAGGAATGGCAGAGCTGCTGCCCCCGAAGCTGCTAACAACCAGCTCTCAGTAGTGGGTGTAATCTTGGGCCGGGCCCTTGAGACCCACCAATCAGAGGGAAATATCCTGCCAAGGAGTTGGTATTCTGCCAAGGAAGGAACCAAGGCTCCGAGGGGTTAAGTGACCAGGAGTGGCAGAGCAAGATGCACGGCCAGGTGTGCCTGTGACCGCTGGGCTGAGTCCTGCTGCAGCCTCCCACCTCCCAAACCATCCACCGCCCCATCTCTGCTCCCTGAAAGAGCCCTCCATACTCTGCTTTGTTCTCTCCCCAGTCCCTCTCAGGTGCTCATCCCTGCCATACCGTGGAAGCCGCCCTCGCCAAGGCCACAGTGACCTCCACTCTGCCCGGTGGGGGCTTGGTCCTCAGCCCCTCCCACACAGCCGCTGGCGGCACCTGACACAGCTGATATGCCCACCTGTCCCGACACGGGATGACCACTTGGCTTCCTGGCCCCCACTGCCCAGGGGCACTGCCTCCCTCCTCCTCGGGCCACTGGAGGGATGGGCTGAGCCTCATTCCTGTCCCTCCTTCCCCTGGCCCCTCTCTAGCCCCACTCACAGCCTCACAGAGGCTTCTCATCTGGGATCCATGGCCCCGTGTCATGGGTAGAACCATGCTCCAGCGTAACTGGCTTCCTTTGTAGCCCTGTGTAGCCTGTTTTGTGCCTTTAAACACAAAATTCTGAGGAGGAGTCCACAGGCCTCACTGGCCCCAGAGAAATCAAGGCCCCTGGATACCCCTAAGAGTCCCACTGCCCCAAGATGGCCCTCCAGCCTCGAGTACACAGCCTGGCCTCACCCCCAAACACCTGATGTACGCAGCCAGCCCCTGCCTGGCATTGCAAACTCAAACCCCTCCAATCCCCCAATCCTCCCAGATGCTCCGACCAAAACCCTGGGCTTCCTTTTCTTTCTTGCACATCACCCGTCAGCAAGGGGTCTCCATGCCTTAGGTGTGCACAGGACTCATCTCCTGCACTGAGGCCCACTGGACCCCCACAAGGCTCTACCCTGGAGACCCTGCTCCTGTGCAGGTTCCTGTCTCATTAGCAGGAAAAGTCAGTGTCCCAGAGACTGGCAGCCCCACAGGACTGGCCCCTGCCCCCTGTGCTCTCTGGGCACAGAGCGACCCAGGCCTCTCCACTGCCGTTCTCTCTTCCGGGCATGAGGTTCCCCCACCTGTCCCAGAGCTTTGAACAAGGTCCCTGGTCCTCACAGCCTCCCTGACCTCCAGGTACAACGGCAACCCTGCCGTGCCGGGCTGGCCCTGCCTGGTTCTTGTGCAAGGTTCTCATCGCTGCCCGGCGCCTGGCTACTCGTGTCTTCTTGCTTAGGGCTTTCCTTCCTCCCTTACGCAGCTTCCTGAGAACAGGGATCTCGAGGGTTTTCACTGCGGCAGCCCCGGCCCCAGCACCTAGAGCACATGGCAGATGTGATTCATCCACCCAGACCATACTCAACCCAAAACCTCATCTCCTGACCACATCTCCACAGAGCCCACCTGCCTACCTTTCCACGCAGCCCGAGTCCCCAGGAGCATCATCCAGCCCCACAGGCTCCTGCAGCCCCCAGCCCCCGGCCCCTGCAGCCTCTGACTCATTGAAGTTGTCCTGCCGGAGAGAAAGGGTGGGCCCTCTCCCAGCCAGGAGGATGACCCTTTCCCATCCTGGAGGAAATCAGGCCTTCAACGCTCAACAAGCACCCACCGAGTGCCCGGGCTGGCCCTGCACACTTGCAGTGACCTTCACTTTTACTCTGTGCACAGGTGGATGGAGCAGGTGCCTGGGAGGGTGCCAGGGTGCACACTCCCCAGACAGCGGTGCTAACCAGGGCAGCCCTGTGGAAGAAGACCCTCACCTACCTCCCCTGCCACCCACCTCCGCCTGTCTGCCCACCTCCTCTGTCCGCCCATTTCCTCCATCCACCCGCCTCCGTCTGCTCACCTCCCCCTATCTGCCCACCTCCCCTGTCCGAAGGTTTCCCCGCCAGTCCCTCACCTGTGGCGCCGTGCCCGCCCCGGTCCTGGGTCAGGCTGGTGAGGCAGTTTTCAGGGCCACCAGCCACCGCATCTCTCAAGCAGACATCCCCGCGGGGGGTCAGGGGGCCCGCGGCAGGGCCGCCCGCCTCGCCGCCCAGGCAGGCACAGGGGGTCTGCATGATCCCGCAGGGGTGCGAGCTGCGGCTACCGGCCAGACACGCGTCCAGCCAGCGGCACAGCATCTGACAGGCGGCACGGCTGGGGCTGCGGTTCCCCACCACTAGGTACTCCACGGAGAAGTCGTCGCTGGGGCCCGGCGGCCCGACCCGGGGCCCGAGTGCGTCGTCCTGGGGCGGCTGCTGGCGCCGCATCTGCAGGAACTGCTTGCTGGCCTGCAGGAAGGCCAGGGGTGCGGAGGGGTCGCAGAGTCGCAGCACCTCGTCGAAGCTCTCCACGCCCAGGTAGGTGCGCGTGGACTCGAGGAAGGAGTCGAACTGGTAGGTGCGGACGCGGCCGGGGCCGCTGCAGGGCACGGGCGCCTTGGCCACCTTCATGTAGAGAGTGTAGCGCCGCGGATCCGGGTTGCGCAGCGTCCAGGAACAGCGCGAGGCGTTGGCCGGGAACACAGCGGCCGCTGAGAAGTAGCCGAAGAACTTTCCCTGCACCAGCGTGGCGCACGGCTCGGGCCCCGGCCCCGCGTCTGCTCCGGCGGCAGCCCGCGCGCGGCGCCCCAGCAAAAGCAGCAGCAGCAGCAGCGGGGCGAGGATCCAGACGGGGCCCGGGGCGGCGGCCTGGCCCCTCATCCTAGCTCGCGGGGCCGCCGGGGTTCCGCGGGCTGGGCAGGCAGGCACGGGCCAGGCCTTGACATGCCAGGGTCCGGCGGCGGGCAGGGCCGGCCCGGCGGGGGCAGGGAGGCGGGGCAAGGGTAGGATGGGAGAGCACCCCGCTTCAGGTGACAGAGAGGGCAGCAACGGCTTCTAAAGTCCAGGGCCCTGGTGCCAGCCTGTGGCCACCAGCAGCATCTGGAAGAGAAAGAGCAGAGGGTCCCCGTGGGGAGTCGGGGGCTCGGGGGGGGGGGGGCGCTGTCTCAGAGGAGGCAGCTCAGCCGGCTCCCAACGAGGGCAGGAGGGCTTTGGGCCGCAGACACAGGCCCTGGCACCCTCCCAGGCACCTGCTCCGTCCACCTGTCTGTCTGCCACCCACCAGCGTGACCACCTGCAGGGGCAGCGGCCCAGCGTGGAGAACAAAGTACCTCCGCCTCTACCCAAGCCTGAGCAGGTAGGGGCTGGCACTGCACCTGGGGCTTTTGGCGGTGCCCTTTTGCCCAGGCAACCTGGCGTGGCTCCCCGGGGCCCTGGCCTGCCTGCCTGCCCGCTCCCCTCACTCTGCGTGGCTGCCCCTCTGTGAGTGAAGGGTGCAGCTCTCTCAGGCTCTCTCTCTTCTACTGACCTTGGTCCCTCCTCTCTAACCTTCCTCCTTCCCGGGAAGATTCTGCAAACCCCGTGGGAAGGGAAGTGGGCCCGGAGCACAGGAGAAAGGTTACTCGGGCGTTCCCCAGCCTCCGGTCTGGCCCCCCAGCCCCTTCTAAAGGCTTGGGGAGCAGGAAGGGGGTGCAGAGCCTCAACAACAGTGATTGGATCTTTAGGGTGAGAGGGGTTCAGATTTGGTGCCCCCAGGACTGCCCTCTGCAGCCTCCAGCGTCCTATACCCAGCTGGTCCTCCTGCCAGGAAGCTCTCTTTCGGCCCTCCCACGTGCCCCCTCATGCCCTAAAGCTACAGGCACAGGGCCTGGGGAGGGATGGAGAGGGGGATGGAGCCACCAGGAGCCACCTCACCCGCGCCCTTCCTCTGCAAGGCTAGTATTACTTCCCATCATTCATGTTGGGAAAACTGAGACACAGAGAGAATCCATAATTTACCTGTCACAGTGAGTGGGGGGGAGAACCCGTACATGAGCCCCAGGCTGACCCCAAATTTGTGCCACCAGGAGACACCTCCCAGCTCCAGGAGAGGGCCCAGGTTGAGTGACTGCCCACTCACACTGGCACAGGTGAGCAGAGGCGCAGCGAAGGCCCTGGATCAGGGGCTGCCCTGGGCCCAGCGGGCATCCACCTCACTGTGGACCTTGGCAAGCTCCTTCTGCCTACAGACCTCAGTCTCCTCATCACCTCCAAGGCCTCTGGCCAGGCCGTCCATCCCACCCAGCAGCCGAGCCAGTGCAGGAGGGAGGGGCGCTGCAGCCAGTCTCCCTCCCCGAGGCCACCCGGCCTCCTGGTGGGGATACCTCCGCTCTGCTGACCACACAAATGCTGGTTGCCCGCCCACGGGACTTGCCGCTTCCTGCTGCCCAGGCCCAGCTGGCCAGCAACACAAGGTCAGTCACTGCTCTGCAGTCCCCTCCTGGCGTCCTTCCTGCATAGCCTTGTAGGCAGAGCAGGGAGCTGGGCCCAGGCAGCCTCGAGGCCTGGTCCCGGCCTAAGCAGAGGCTCTGAGCCCATGGGAGCCAGGAGGCCGGAGGCTGGACTCAGGCTGTGTCCAGGACTGCAGAGTGGCCCCGGACAAGTCTCTCACCACAGAGCCTCAGTTTCCTCATCTGTAAAGTGGGATGGGTGCCCCACTGCTCTCAGCAAGAGGTTAAGAGCTGGGTGGGGGAATTTTAGCAGGGGGGTGCAGGAAGTGCTCCCAGCAGGGGAAGGAAGCTGGCTGGGGCTTCTGGATCCGGGGACAGACATGGCCCAACCTGCCCTCCATGGTCTTATTCCTGGCAAACATTCCGGTCTCCCAAGAGAAAAGTTTTTTTTAAAGGGGCAAACCTACAATACAATCTTCCCATCCTGGCGCCTTTGTGGCAGACCTGGGAAGGCGCTGCCACGTCCCCTGCCTCCTGGAAGCCCTCCTCCAGTCCTGCCCCCAGACACGCTTGGCTGGGTGGGCTTGAACAAGGCATGGAAAAGTCGGGCTGTCCTTGGCGGCCACCACCATCCCATGGAGAGGCAGTGGCTGTAGGCGGGTCCCACCTGCCTGTGTGAGCCCCACCCAGCCTCACCTCGAGCTACAGTCCCAGGGTAAGCCCAGTCCTGGATGAGTATCCGTAGAGCCTGGCAGAGCACCAGTCCCAGCTGGTGCTGACCCAGCATGACCTTGACCCCTCCACAAGCCAGCCAGCCTCACTGCCCCACATGCCCCTCCAAGTGCCAAGGAGGCCCCAGGCAATCCTGTTAGCCCTGACCCTGAGTTGGTGTCACCCCCAGATGCACCACCTTCCCCCAGAGGGACCCGCACAGCTCAAGATGCCAGAGCCTACCTCTCCCCTCCTCATCCCAGGCCCTGGCAGCTCCACCCTACAGCCTTTCTAGGGTGGGGCAGGTTCCTGGGGCCTGCGGTGCCAGAAGCGGGCACAGGAGCTGGGGTGCACAAGGACCAGCCGCTGTGGGCCTTTGGCCGGGCATGGAGTCTTTAGTGCCTCGGTCATCCCATCTGGAAACTGGTACAACCTGGCAGCCTGGAAGGGGGGCATAGCCTCATAAGCCCAGCTGGCCACGATGCGGCTGGTGTCCGCAACGCCATGTGGACTGTGCAGGCCAGGGAGGGGTGTCCCAGGACAGGCTCCAGCTAGGTTAGAAAACACAGAAGAGTCCATCCCAGGTTCACAGGGAGACAGGATGTGTGCCAGGCACTCTGTCGCTGAGGCAGCCTGTTACAGATCCAGTTTACAGATGGGCTAAGAGGGGCCGTGCCTTGGTGGAGGCTCACAGCTGGTATTGGGCACCTGAGCCTGGAATTCAGCTTGGGCCTGCGAGTCACCACCCGTGCTCTCTGCACAGCATGGCCCCAGAGCAGGTGGACCAGGGCCTACCCCTGCCACTTTCCCCGGGCCCTTAGGAGCTGAGCTGAGTGGAGGCCTCCTGGCATACCCTAGGGCCTTGGCATCACTGGTCACCCCTCATTGTCACCAGCTCACTCCACCCCTTGAGCCATCTTGGGGGTGTGAGTCTCACCCTGTAGGCAAGAGGTGGCAGAGGGGATGAGAAGCAGCCAGTGCCCCCATCAGCACCGACCCTGGCAGTGCTGGGGTCACCCTGGGGGTGATGACCCGAGGGAGGGGTGTGAGGGCCAGGAGTGGCCATGGGGAAGGAGAGTGCTTGGGAGGTGGAAGGAGGAGGCCCCAGCACCAGCCAGGCATGGAAGTTGTGCACGGCCCACTGCTGGCCTGGAAAGGGAGGAGGGAGGAGGTACCTGCAGGGAGGAGGGGCTAAGGGTCTGGCAGGGCAACGCCCAGTGCCCCAGCAGGGACCTGGGACCTCAGTGGACTGTCTCGGGGCCAGGAGATGGCCCAGAAGTGCCCATCCCTGGGATTCTTAAACCTTGAAGCCCTGGGGTTCCACAGGAGGGACCGCAAGGGCCATCAGCAAGTCGGCGGGGGGGGGGGGGGGGGGGGGGGGGGGGGGGGGAGCCAGTGCCCCATCAGCACCGAATTCTGGCAGTGCTGGGGTCACCCTGGGGTGATGACCCGAGGGGGAGGGGTGAGGGCCAGGAGTGTGGCGGGGAAGGAGAGGCTTGGGAGGTGGAAGAGGAGGCCCCAGCACCAGCCAGGCATGGATGCCAGTAATGCCCACTGCTGGCCTGGAAAGGAGGAGGGAGGAGGTACCTGCAGGAGGAGGGGGCTAAGGGTCTGGCAGGCAACCCAGTGCCCAGCAGGGACCTGGGACCCCAGTGACTGTCTCGGGCCAGGAGAGGTCTGTGGCGCCCATCCCTGGGATTCTTAAACCTTGAAGCCCTGGGGTTCCACAGGAGGGACCGCAAGGGCCATCAGCAAGTCAAGGGGGGGGGGAAGGAGGGCTCAGGTTACTTCCTGGCTCCCCAGCGTCCTCTAAAACATCTCTGACTGAGCTGCTCCCCAAGCAGGCCTTGGGAGAAGCCCTATTGGCCAGAAGGCCGGCCCAGCTGACATGAATTTGAAACCCACAGAACCGGCCCGACCCTGCCTTTTCTGGTTGGGCCACTGGGCAACACTAGGCAGGAACTCAGGCCATTGTCTTGGCTGATAGCCCCTGAGCCTGCCAGTGGGCACAGGCCCCCCCAACCTGCCACACTCACCCTCTGCCCTGCCCCCAGCAGACCCACCCATCTCTGAGCCAGCCGAGGTCTCCTGCACCCCACCTGCCCGCAACCCTCCAATGGGACCACTCCAAGACAGCCCAGGCAGGCAGAGAGCTGGCCAAGGCCGGGGTAACCAGGGACCACCTCCTCAGGCTCCTGTCCCCCCATGCCAGGCCCGAGCCAGGCGCTGCAGCCCAGCTCATATGGCTGCAGTGGTGGCTGACAGTCTAGCTGAGATGGGGTGGGGCATGCAGGGGAGGCTACTGATCCTTCCTGGCACCCAGGGTGGCATCCCAGAGGGGTCAGCACCTGAGTGGGGCCCTGAGGATGAGTGGGTCCCTCTGCCTGCTGGGGGCAGGAGTGGGCCTGTGTAGTGTCCAGGCCAGGAGGGAGGTTAATTCGGACAGGGTCACAGGAGACTTCCAGTGTGCAAGTGGAGGAGGGGCTGGTGGCCCCTGCTGAGATGTGGACGGGGAGAAGCAGATGTGTGTGTGTCAATGTGTGTGTGCACGAGTGCATGTGCATGTGTGCACACGTGTGCCTGTGTGTGCCCAAGTGCATATGTGTGTGCACATGTGTGCCTGTGAGTGTGCATATGTGAGCATGAACACACACGTGGCACATTTATACAAGGCCACGTGGCAGTGGGACAGCCTGGGCTTAGTGCTGTACTTGCTGGGATGCGGGGCCAGAGATGCGGCTGGGAAAGGAGGGCGTGCCCCACAGGGTATGTTTAGCGAGAACCACAGTCACGGCCTTGGAGAAAGGGGTCCAGGTCTGAGGCCAACAATGGCTCCACCCTGGGGCAGCTGCTGTGGTATCTGCACAGCCGCACCTCCGGCCTCGGCTCCCCTGGACTGGCTCACCCTCCTCCCCTCGGCCACACCAGCTCCCAGGTCCTCTCGGTTGGGAGGATGCCCCGGGTCCCCGGGGGTTGGCCCTGGCCCCTCAAAATCCAAGCTCTGAGCTTCTCCAGCAGGTCCCTTGAGTTCCCCAGCAGGCCCTTCCAGCCTCATCCTCCAAAGGCCTGCTCTACACAGCAGTCAGGGACCCTGAAGGTTGAGGCCTGGCTGACCCCTGAGCCCACCCCACGCCAGGCCTCCACTATGAAGACAGAAAGCTCCGGGCATCCAGGCCACAGGTGACAGGGTGGGAGAGGCTCATGGGCTGCCCCCATTGCTGGGAGACCAGTGTGGGGGCTGGCCACTTCTGTCTTTAAGTGTTACAATTTAGTGGCAAAACCGTCATCAACTGTCTTGCAGAGAAGTGAGCAATTGTCTTCATCCCCAAAGCATAGGCCACTTCTCTGGTCATTGGTTTCCATATCTCGGCCTGGGTAACAGCAGTTCCCACTACCCACTGCCCCTCAGCTTCCCAAGGACAGTGACCAATGACCAGCAAAGCCCTCACAGGTTCCTGCCTTTCTCGTCACCTTCTCCAGGGTCAAACTTCCCTTGTTGTCAGGAAGTTCTTTCTGGTGTCTAGCCCCCATCTCTTCTGCTGCAGAGGAGGCTGGCCAGCTTCTGCGAGGTGGCCTAAGGGCAGGGCGGGGAGTGCTGCTGGTCTCTGGGCAGAGGTGACAGGGAGAGGGCCTGGGCTGGCAGACAGGGGACCCAGAGAGGTGGGACAGCAGGAGCCAGCCACGCTGGGCCAGGGAGCAGAGTTGGGAGCCATGGTGAGGGGAAGAGGGCACCAGCATTCACTACGCACTGACCGCAGGCCAGCAACGGGCCTGAGATTATACAGGAACCCCTCCTTCAATCTCACAGCTTCTGCATGAGGTGGGCGAGACAGTGACCCCCATCACAGACACCCTCAGACGAGAGGCACCACAGCCGCCTCCCACCGCCATCCTGTGCCTGTGCAAACTGCACACACACACCCCACCCTGCCACCAGGCCTGGGTTCCAATCACACCCTGCACCTCGGTTTCTCCACCGTCCCACCCAGGGCGGTGAATGCTGTCCAAGGCCCTTCTCTCAGGGGCACTAGGGCTCCTCCGTGAGGCTCCAAGCCCACTCTGGGTCCAGTCCACACCGGACAGACCCGACCCTGGGCCCAGGCCTCCTGCGTCCCCTCCCCGCCCACCCCAGGCCACCAATGGCATCCCAGACACCAGTCACAAAAGGCACTCTGTTGTCCTGCCGGCCCTCTGAACAGTGCCCGCCTGTGTGTCCTGAGAAAAGGCTGCACGGGGGGAGGGGCGGGGTGGGCACCCTCGGCACCGACTGCCCAGGGGGCTGGGAGGCAGACGGCTGGCCTTCCTCGTTCAGGGTGCCTACGGCCCCCATTCAAGCGGCCTGGTCACCGGAAGCAGAGGCAGCACCGTCCCCCGCCTGTGAGGTCCTGGCAGGGCCCCTGACATGGGCCCAGGACAACTTATTTGTGTGTCTCAGGGGTTCAGAGCCATGAGAAGTGGGCCAGAGAGTCAGGGACTAGCCAAGCCGAGGAGGGGGTGCCGAGATAGCCTCCCCCCAACAGGGTGACCCCCAGATGCCACCTGCCCTACCCCAGCTTGTGCCAACTACACCCCCACTGGCCAACCTGCAGGGTAGTTAGGCCTGCTCATAGGGAGCCCAGGTCACGTGCCACCCACAGCGGAGGCAGGCTGGGGTGGGCAGGGCTGCCAGCAGGGTCGGACCCCCTGGGGGTGGGCCCCCAAGGGCGTGGGAGTCCACCATGTTCACAGGGCCTGCCAGGCCCAGCCCCACCCAGCTGCCTAGGCACGGGGGTGCCCAAAGAATCTGGCCAGAGCCGCTGGCAGGGAGAGAAAGGCCCTTCCTACAGAGACCACTGCTGGAGCTGAGGCAGAAGGGGCCCTATGGTATGTCAAGCTCTGCTCTGGCTGGCCCTGTGCTCTGCCCTGGCACACAGACCTTCATCCGACCCCCCACCCGCAGAGGGCAAGGTGATCGCAGCCTGCAGTTCCCCAGACATGGATACAGGCCCAGAGGGACCAACCGGCCCCCAGTGACTCCAGGGGAAGACAGGAGCTGTGTTACCCCTCATCCCACCCAACTGTCCCAGACCACCTTGGCCCGGCGTCAGACACCAGCTTTCCAATGGCCCTCAGGCTCCAGGCCTCGCTGAACCTCCCCTAGTCTAGGGCTCATCACCCCAAGCCACCTGCGGGCTCTAAAGATGCTCCCTGTGCTGAAGCTCCTGGGCCACTGTCCACGCCCCGCTGCACTGAGGTCCCAGGCACACTCCGGGGCCAGTCCGAGGCCAGAGTGAGGAGGGCTACCTTGCCTAGGAGTTGCCCTTTAGGGCAGGGCTGCCCAGCCAGGCGGTGAGCCCCTAGCAGCAGTATGGGGGCCCGAGGAGGAGGCTGCACTCAGCCTGGACTCCACAGTGGCTGGTCTCCTGGCTTGAGAACCCCTGAGAGGAGGCTGTACCCCGGGAGCAGGCCCCAACCAGGCCTCCACCCCACCACAGCGGGCAGGCAGTTATGTGGCAATGGGGAGGAACAGCTGCAGCCAGGGTCCAGCATCTGGGAGGAGCGAGACGGAGGGAGAGAGGTGTGTCCAGCAGGTGAGCAGCCTTGGCGCCAGGCGGGGCTGGAGGATGCATGTGTGGCTGTGTGCGCTGCCCATGTGCGTGCGTGTGTGCATGGGGTGCTGAGTCCAAGTGAAAGCTGTGCAGGTGTGAGTGGTGTGTGTGTGAGCGAGTGTGGGGAACAGAATGTGCGTGTTCCAGCTGAGCTACACACGTGAGTGTGCACATGTGGTGTGTGTGCTTCGGGGGGTGAGGAAGTGTGTGCACGTGCAGGGTGAGTGCACGCTCCTTTTATGAGTTACAAGTGTGTGCCCTGTTTAAGGGCTGTGCACATGCATGTGTGTAGGTATGTGAGCAAGTGTGTGCACACAGTGAGTTGCCAGCATGTGGGTCTGCACACATCTTGCAGGTGTGCGAGGGGCAAGGCGGTTCTATGTGTGCATCTGGGTGCATCGTGGTGGAGAGGAAGTCTTTCTGGAGGAGCTGCCCATGAGATCTGGGCCCGGCACAGGGATGGGCTCTCTGGGACTGGGGAACAGGGAGCGGGTGCAGAGTGCAGGGGCCCTTCTCCTCCCAGAATCCCATTCCTTTCCCTGGAGCTCTGAAATCCTATTTAAATGCATTCCTCTGGGGTGGCCATTACCCCAGAGGAGCTGGAACTGGGGCCTCACCAAGACTTGTCTGGACAGCCCTACCTCTCCCTGGCACTTCACAGGGTGATGGTGTCCTGGACTCTCTGGCACTCTCCAGGACAAGCAGGTAGGGCCACCCACACTCCTGTCACAGAGATGCCAACTTAGCCTCAGAGAGGTGCTGGCCCAGAGTCTGCCTGCCAGCAGGCGGGAGAGCGATTCCACCGACCGTGTGCCCCCAGGGCCCAGGAGGATGTGCTGGGATGCATGGTGCTCAGGTGTGGGGTGTGGGCTTTGCAAGGTTCCTTCCCCGCCTCACACCCAGGCCAACGCCCAGCCAGTGCCATCTTCTCAGCCTCCTGGCCGCTCCTCTGTGTTTCTTATTTCAGGGACCCCTCAACCACACATCTCAGTCAAGAGTCAGCACCCCCAAAACTGGTCCATAGCTGAGTGAGGAGTGGGGGACAGGCACTAGGACATAGGGACTGTCTCATCTCAAGGTCCACCCCAGTCTCTGAGCTCCCAGTAACCCCTGGGTCCTCCTGACCTCAGCTGCGCTGGGCCGGAACAGCTCCGTTGCTTGGTGGGTGCAGGGGACCAGCCTGTCGCATGCTCCTCCCCCAGGAAGGCAAGTGGCTGGGGGCCTGACAGTGAAGCTGCAGAGAGGACTTCTGCTGTGCCCTTCCCCTGACCAAGCCCCAGAGAGGGATGCCCTAGAGAACAGAACGCCACAAGCAGGAGGTGCTGGCAGTAGGGTGCGGCTGAGGTGGCCTGGGGGGCAATGGTCGTGGGGGTGACGGGGAGGGGTGAGATGGTATGGGGGCAGTGAGGGTGCTACGGCTGACGATGAGCTGGACGAGGGACAGAGGGTGGGTGTGTACATGTTAGCGTTTGTGAAACCCATGCAGGGAAGGAGGGAGGAGGGGCAGAGGTCCCCACGGGTCCATCCGGGCAGGGTAGCCCCCAACAACAGAGCCTGTAACAGGGGTGGCAGGAGGCGAGGGGACCAGGGCTCTGAGGAGGAAGGAGACTAGTCCTTTGGTACTGATCCTATTTTTTGTGCTTCCTCAATTAACAGAAACGAGTTAGTATGAAAAAGGAAGAGAGAGGGAGGGTGGGGCAGGAGTGGAGACGTCCGGAGTCCCTCCTCAGCGGCTGTGCTTTGTCTGTGGGGGAAGGGAGATCCTCACCATAACCCCGAGGAGCGGAGCACAGGTGAGGAAAGGAGGCGCCGGGGCCTGATGAAGGTCACAGGGCAGAACTCAGGGCCAGCACCTGCTGGGTCCCACTCCCAGTCCCTGCCTTCGGGGGCCTCCCTGCCCCATCCCCGGACATCAACATCCAGGCTGTGTCCTCCGGATCGTGTGGTCTGTAGGTCTGAACCTCCCCTCGTTCCCCTCTGCGTGTGTAGACAGGCACACATCGCGGGGCAGGGGTGCCGTGTGCACCCCTGAGTGCACCTCACGGTGTGCTCGTGCTGACGTGTGTTCTCGTGAGCCCACAACAGGGGGCAGGTTTTTGGGTGGTGGCACCCTGGCGTTCCGTGTTTCTTGCCTTTGTGGGGACACGTGTGCCTGCTCTGGGTGTCTGCCTGCACCTCACACCGGGGTGTGTGTTGGTGTTGGGTCTGCTGGGTGGTGCTGGGGCTGGCTGTGGCCCACTGTGATGAATGTGGCGTCCGTTTTGTGCAGTGCAGCTATGGGTGTGGCAGCGGCACTCAACAGGCTGTGCACTCAGCCTCCTGATGGGCCCTATGACCTGCGGCCCATGGGGCACCCCATCTCTTCGGCATCCCCATCTCTTCGGCATCCCCATCAGGCCAAGCCACCTACCCTGTTCAAGACCCTCCTGTGGCTCCTGACAGCAGCTCCCAGGATGTGGGCCAAGACCTTCAGGGCTCAGGTCTGGCCCTGACCCCTCTGCGGCCCACTGTCCTGCCTCCCACCTTCCTCTCCAGCTCTGGTCTATTTCTCACACCCACACTATGCCCTGCCCCAGGGCCTTTGCACAGCTGGCTCTTCCTTCTGCCCGGACCTCTGAACCCTTCATCACCCACCCACCTGCCCTTCCGTGGGACGCCTCCTGGCTGAGCCTCACTTCTAGGCCTCTGTAGGCTGCTTTCTTGCACTCCCCAGAGCCTCCTTGGCAGAGCTGGTCAGGGGCTCTTTCCTGCATATTCCCGCAGCCTCAGCGCTTGGCGGGGGATTGCACAGGACGACGCCCTCCTCCTTGCCCCCTACCCTACTCCCAGTGCGAGGGTGTACACGTGGGCACCCACGCGTCTAGTGAGTGCCACTTCCTCTGTGTGCACGCGGGCTGTCTACAGGGGGATCCCGGGCCTGTGCGTGTTTACCCAGAAGTCACAGCTCTGCCGATGGCGCAGCTGCAGCCAGGGAGGCCGGAGGCTTCCAGAGGACAAAGGGAGGGCGTGGGCTTGCGGGCCGGGAGGGGTTGACAACACCCTGCCGGTTCGGGGTCTTTGCTGAGCGTCGGGTGTTGGCTTTCCTCACAGAGTCCATCCCATGCACACACAGCAGACCCGGGGGCAGCCCAGAGCCAGAGCCGACGGTAAAACGGGGTTTGACTAAATCCTGCCATCCGGGGCCACACTGGCGTGAGACCCGCCCCCGCCACGCACACACATGTGCAAATCTGCATGCCTGCACACACGTGCCTCCAGCCTCCCGGACGGGCACGCACATGCATGCGCGGCACACATGGACACAAGCACGCAAACGCGCGCTCACGCCAGCGCACCGCACGCGGGGACCCGGCCGGGCCGGAGAGGGGGGCTCTGGCCCAGACGCGAGGCGCGTCACGGGACCCGGCGGCGGGAGCGGATGGCGCGCGGGCTGGCGGGAGGGCGGGGGCGGCCGGGGCTGCCCAAGATGGGGCCAGAGCCGCGGGCCGGGCGCGGAGGAGACGGAAGGGCGGGCAGGGCCGCGCGGGCGCAGTGCGGGCGCCCTCTCCCGGCAGTCAGCGGCAGCGCGCCGGCCCTCCGCCCTCCGCCACTGCGGCCCCGCGCCGGCCGCCTGGGCCTGGAGGCCCGCGGCGTCCCCGGAGGACGGGCTCCGCGCCCCACGACCCACTCCCGGAGGCGGGGTCGGGCTGGTCCGGGGCGGAGGGCGCCGCGGGAGGCTGCCCGGATCCCGGGCGCTTGCTTGGCCCTGCCCGGGGCCCTTCATGCTCGGCCCCGCGGCTGTGTCCGCAAGCGCAGATGGTCTCGGGACCCGGGCCGCCCGGACGCCGCAGACCCAGCACGCTGCGGACCTGGCACGTTGGATCTCGGGACGAGCGCGGAGGGTCGGGGGCTGGAAGGTATCCGAGAGCAGAGCCCGCGCCCCCATTTCATGGACGCGGTCACCGAGGTCCGAGAGGGGCCGGAGCCTACGGGCAAGGGAAGGGCCTCGGAGGGCTCCGTAACTTGGCTGCGTCCCCTCCCTAGCCCAGGATCCGGAGGAGTGCTGCCTGAGGCCGAGGCGACGGATCGCCCCCTCTCCGCCCCCGCGCGGGACCCCGGCAGGAACAAGCGCCCTTCCCTGGGATCAGAGGCGGCAAACTCCTGGCTCGAGCCCCTAGCGCAGCGCCCGCCCGCGGAGCCGCGCGCCTCTCTGTCGCATCCCTGGACTTCGCGGCTCGGCCCTCAGCCGCCGGGGCTCCCGGGCCAGCCTTCTGCTCCCCAGATCGAGGCGCAACAAGTCTGAAAGCAGCGCCAAGGAGCAGCTAGCTAGCCGAGAGGGAGGGCGTGGGGCGCCGGGCGCTCCGGGATCCCCGAACGCGCGCAACGTCCGCCTCCGGGGACCTGGCGCGGGCGGCGGGCGCGCGGGACTGGCTGGGCCGGCTGCCCACACCCCCTTCCAAGGCCCCGACTGTGCGACGGGGGCGCGCCCAGGAACCCCCGCCCCCTCCTTCGCCTGCTTGACCTTGCTGGGTACTCAAAGCCGGACCCGGCGGCACCCCGGCGTGCGGGCGCAGAGTTTCGCTGCCGCCCACGGGAGGGAGCGGCTCGACCTCCCTCGTTGCCTCCTGGGCAGCCGGGGTCGCAGAGAACTGGAAGACATGAGGGTTCTAGGAGACGTGATAGTCGCCTCCCCAGACCCCACACACCGTATACCACCTCCCTCCCAGATACGAAAAGGGACCCAGCTCCCCTTTCCCCCGCCTCCGCCCGCGCGGCCTTTGCTGTTCCCCCGCGGCGGCTCTCGCTCCGAGGGGGCGTGTGTTTGTGTCTGTGGGGGAGAGCACTAAGGGTCTGCTTGGGTTCCCAGGGTGGAGCGGGAGAACTGACCGTCCAGCCCCCTCCCCAACACAAACACCAAGCGGCTCCTCTGGGGCAGGAGTGCAGGCCCCCTACCCGCCTACACGCCTTCCTGCCTTTCAACTACTCCGGAGTTGCAGCCCAGGAATCTGCGCCCCAGACCCGGAGGAAGAATGGGGAGGTCGCGGCGGGAACGGATGCTAAAGGAGGGCTGGCTTAGGGCTCTTCGGGTCCCAGCCTGGGCGCCTGCGCTCCAAGAAACTTAGAAGCCCAAAATAAAAGTGGAAAGGGGTAAGGTGCCCAGCGGCCTGGGGCTGGGGTGCCAGGTTAGGCGTTCTCTTCAGGCTGCCGGGGAGTGGCCAAGCAGGAGCCTCCGCGGCCAGGAGGAGGGACCCGGGCTCGGAGCCGCAGCCTCCCTCAAGCCCTCCCGGTCACATCGCTTCGCGGAGATTCTCAGCTCCGCCGACCCCTCCCGAGGCCGGAGGCGCTCTCTACCTTGCCCAGGGGGTCGCGGGAACCTGGGGAGAGGACTCCTGGCCGGGTCCAGAGCCCCCAACCTCCCCAGGAGGGGGCGGGGGCCGTGCTCGTTCCTCGAGGCAGCTCTGCGCGGCTCCTAGCTAGCGCGGCGACAGCGGAGGGCCGGCGGCCTCTGCTCGCCGGGGACGCGGACCGGGGAGTGCTCGGCGCTTGGAGCGGAGAGGGCACAGGGCCGGCCCAAAGTTGAGAGTGGCTTATCTGCGCGCCCTGTCCGACCCAGTGCAAAGGTAGACAAGGAGGGAAGAGCGAGGGCGTTCGCGTGGGGGTGGGGGGCGCAAAAATAGCCCTCCGCCCGAAGTGCGGGAGAGAACCTCCAGGGAGTCTCCACCGCCAATGCCAGGTCTACCTACAGGGGAGGGCTTCTACGGGCGAGGGCTTCGAGAAGGAGTCTGGGGTTTTCTCCTGCCTGCCCCAGGCTCTGTGCGTGGGGGGAGGACGTCTCGGGCCCCTACAATGTCTGTAGGGGCTCTGGACGTGATTAGCAGGAGGGGGACACGCTCAGGGGCTCTCCGGAGCCTGCTGCGTCTGTGTGTGGCTGTTGGGGGCCGTGGGGGCTCCCTTAGGCCCCCGCCAGCGTGTGTGTGTGCTGGGGGTACAGCGGGAACGCCCTCCCCGGCCTGCCCTGTGCATGTGATGAGGAGGGGTGCCAGGCTGTGGTGTGTGGATCGGGAGGAGGCGAGCAGAGCCGAGGAGCCTCTCCTGCGTCCAGAGTCGCCCCCTCCTCAGCCTGCCCAATGCGGGCTCGCGGGGACCTGCCACATTCCATCGCCACCGCTGGAGGAGGCAGGGGGCTGAGGGGGTAGGGGGTGGGGGTCCAAACTCCCGAGCTCTGAGCGAAAAACCTCGGAGCTGCGAAGCCCCAAACGGCGAAGTTAGGAAGTCTGGGCGCCCGCACCTTCCCCGGCCCCCTCCCACCCTCGCTGCGCCCCCACCCGCCGCGCCCCCAGCCCCCGCCAGAGCCTTCCTTACCTTCCCCAGCAGCAGCGGCCCCGCCGGCGAGGACTCGATCCGGCGAGTTGCAAATCCCCGCGAGTGCCTAGCGTCGCCAGCGGCCAAGCCGGGCGCCCGACCGGAGGTGGGGGGGGCTCTTCCAGCCGCCGCCGCCCCCGGCCCGCTCCGGGCCTCACCGGGACGCCCCCTGGAGCGCACCCGTCGGCGCACGCAGGCCCCCTCCCCTTCCCCCGCGCCTGCTGGAGCCCCCCGGGCGCCCGGAGGGTCCGGATGCCCGCGCTGCGGACGATGCTGGGCGCGCGGGCCCGGGCCGGGCCAGGACGCGGCGCGGCCGCCTGTGCTCCCGGCTCGCCGGCTCCGCGCTCGCTCCGCCGGGGCCGCCGCCAACGCCGCGCCCGCCGCCGCCGCCTGCGCCCGCCGCTCCCTCTCCGGCCGCCGCCGCTCCGCTCCTCTCGCCTGCCCGGCTCTTCTCGCCTTTTTTCCCCTTCCTGAGGGGGGGGGGCGAGCCGAGCCGAGCCGGGGGCGGGGCGGCGCGGGGAGGAGGAGGAGGAGGCCGAGGACGAGGAGAAGGAGGAGGAGAGAGGCGAGAGCTGCTTCCCCCCACCCGGCTGCCGGCGCTCCCCAATCTCTCGCTCTCTGAAACTGGATCCCGAATCGGGAGCCAGAGACTGCATGACGGATTACATCAGGCTTTATAGAGCTTCCAGATCACACATTAGAGGGGGAGCGCGAGCGGGGGGCGGGGGCGTGGGGGGAGGGGAGCGAGATAAGGGGGGGCGGATAAAATGCACACACGCGCGCACACCTAGGAGAGCCCGGTGCCTGCCCCGCGCAGCAGAGAAGCCAAGAGTTGGGTCCCTGCTTTCGGCCTTCTCCAGGAGCAGGGGAGTGGCCCCACTGGCTGGCTGGATGATGGATGGTGGACGGCAGGACGGACACACAGATGAATGGAGGGAAGGAAGTGAGGGGTTGTGCCTAGGCAATGCAGGTGCGTGGGTGGATAGACGGTGGACGGATGGATGAGGTAGGTGGGTGTAGATGGAAGTGGGGTGGACGGATGGATGGACAGATGACTGGAGAGCTGGCGAGAGAACGGTGGGGTAGAAGGATGGAGCGAAGAGATGGGTGAGGATGGACGGGATAGGTGGGTAAGTGAATGGGCGGCACCCAATGGAGGGCTGCTTGGCTGAAGGCTGTGCAGGTGCAAGGACCAGGCATGGATGGGGGTCAGACGGGGCTGAATGGGGGATGGGCAGGAGAGAGATTGGAGGCTTAGACTCCTGACCCCATCCAAGAGGGTCAGAGGGAGGGGGGTGGGCGGGGACTGGGCAGGGCCAGTTGAACTGCTCAGGGGGGTCTTGTCCAGTTCTTCCTCATGGACCCTGTGCTGAGAGATGCTGAGGGGAGTGCCTGGGGAAAGAGTCAGGAGGTGGATTTGAAGGTGAAGTCGAACCCACCACTGACCCTGGGTGGCTGTCCCCAGGCACTTCCTCCCATTGTCACCATCCATCCTCCTTTGACTCGGTGACATGGGGGACCTCCGAGCCCCATATTCAGGTTTTGTTCTTCATCAGCGGATGGAGACGGCCCCTTCGGCTGCCTTGGATCATCCACGGCCCCTCTTCTGCTTCCAGGACCGCTGGCCAGGTACCCAGAGAGAGCCTTCCCAGAAGGAAACCAGGACCTTGGAGAAATGACTGTGGGATCCTTCTCCACCAAGACACTTCTACCTCAACCCCTTTATCCTAGCTCTCAATGTGTGGTCCACTCTGAGCGCAAGTCCTCCTGTGTGGATGTCCAGCACTCTGAGCGCAGGTCCTCCTGGGTGGATGTCCAGCACTCTGCACAGTGAACCATCACAGCAGGTCACACGGATGCTGCTACCCAGGCCCACTGTCAGCCTGGCTGCTTCTGTCAGCCCATTAGCCAGAGTCTCCATTGGGTACCACCACTGCCACCACCAACACGAATTCACAGGGACTGCCACCACCCCTACCTGAATGTCAGCACCCACCCTGCCCCAGCCTCCTGTGGCCCTCAACGGCAGTCACCACCGTCACAACACAGGTCACCAGGGTAGGAGGGAACTCAAGCCCACTGAGCCCCTGGGCATGGCACACTGCTCACCGGACACAGTTGTGCCCATATCAGTCCCCTCCGCAAGGTCGATCTGTGGCCAAGGCTCCTAGGGGTGTCCAGAGGGACCGGCCAGAAGGGGCCCACAGACACAGGCCACAGGGCAGCCAGGAAAGGGGGTGGGGGCGGTCTGCTTCCCGGTCCAACCTCTTGGGCAGTGTCACACCTCCTTCCTCCTGGGGAAAAGGCCTTCTTCTCCAAGGCTTTGACAGGATTGTTGACAAAAGGGCAGGGTGCTGGGGCTGCCTCTGAGGATCCCCTGCCTAGTGGCACCCCCTCCTCCCATCCTGGTGGCGATGCCCTGCCTCCTCTCCTCGCTGCACCAGCAGTCATGGCCACCAGGGGGCGGCTGATGTCAGGCCAGGAGGCCAGCAGCTCTGAGTCAGGACTCAGCCTCCCTCCTTGGAGCGCCCAGAGGGTGGCAGCGATCCCGGTGCCTACGCTGGGGAATCCAGCCCCAGGTTCTCAGGGCGATGCTGGGGCCCTCTCCAATGCAGCCATCCAGGGCGAGGCAGTCTCCCTTCTGGGCCCAGCTTCTCGGCAGGGCCTTTCCTCTCCCTGCACGGGGCCTTCTCTGTTTCCCTCCCCGACTCGCCACTTTTAGAAAATCATCCTCTTAGCCCAGCTCCTGATCCAGGACTCAGAGGGTTCCACCTCCCATCCCCCGGCCCAGTCCTCAGCCCCTCCCCAGGGAGGGAGAAGGTCAGGCATAAGGAGTTCTGCCCACCAAGACCCAGCTCCCAGCAGAGCGCCCTGAAGCAGTCTCGCTCACCCCACTTCAGCCCCGTCTCCCTGTTGGCACGCGTGTGTCTGAATGGCTTTGAAGGTGTCTTCCAGCCCAGACACTCCGGGTTTCTAGAACCCTAAACCGGCAACTGACTTTCAGAAGGCTTGCCTCAGCGTACACCCTGAACTCCGTTCCCCTCACCTGCTCACCCGACCCCCCAACTGCACCGTCTCACGCCCAGATCGTCTTCCTTTCAGAGTCCTGTCCACAGCCTGAAGAACCCAGGGTGGGCCCAGCACCAGGAGGCTGGAATTGATGGTCCCTGCTGGGGACCACCCCCAGCTGGACACCGGGCCCTAGAACCTCCTCACGAAGCCCAGAGGGAGTGTGACCTGTGGCATCTTCTCAGTGTTCTCCATAGCCACAAAATGATCCCTGGCCACAGCCAGACACTCAGCTGTGACCCTGCCCCCGACATTGGAATCACTGACCACTGATCTTGGCCACACACTGAACCCTGATCCTGGTCACACACTGAGCTCTGGCCACACACTGAACCCTGATCCTGGTCACACACTGAGCTCTGGCCACACGCTGAACCCTGATCCTGGTCGTACACTGAGCTCTGGCCACACACTGAGCTTGGTCACACACCGAACCCTGATCCTGGTCGTACGCTGAGCTCTGGCCACACGCTGAACCCTGATCCTGGTCAACCCCCCAGCTGACACCGGGCCCTAGAACTCTCACTGAAGCCCAGAGTGAGTGTGTGACCTGTGGTATCTCTCTCAGTGTTCTCCATAGCCACAATGACTTCTTGGCCACAGCCAGACACTCAGCCGTGACCCTGCCCCCTGATATTGAATCACTGACCACTGATCTTGGCCACACTGAACTCCCCATCCTGGTCAAGCACACTGAGCTTCTGCCACACACTGAACCCTCCTGATCCTGGTCACACACTGAGCTCTGGCCACACGCTTAACCCTGATCCTGGTCGTAACTGAGCTCTGGGCCACACACTGAGCTTGGTCACACACCGAACTCCTGATCCTGGTCGTACGCCGAGCTCTGGCCACACGCTGAACTCCTGATCCTGGTCACACACTGAGCCTGGGCCACACGCCGAACCCTGATCCTGGTCGTGGCCACTGAGCTCTGGCCACACGCCTCGTGCCCTGATCCTGGTCGTACACTGAGCTCTGGCCACACGCCGAACCCTGATCCTGGTCGACACTGAGCCTGGCCACACGCCGAACCCCGATCCTGGTCGTACACTGAGCTCTGGCCACACGCCGAACCCTGATCCTGGTCGTACGCTGAGCTCTGGCCACACGCCGAACCCTGATCCTGGTCGTACGCTGAGCTCTGGGCCACACGCCAACTCCTGATCCTGGTCGTACGCTGAGCTCTGGCCACACGCCGAACCCTGATCCTGGTCACACGCTGAGCTCTGGCCACACGCGAGCTTCCATCCTGATGTAGACTGAACCCTGATCCCATGGCTGCTTTACACATCCAGAGCTTTGGTCCCAAGGCTAAGTGTAGACTCTAAGGGGTCCCGGATTGATGGGAAACAGAAAGGGGGACATGAGGCCTCGAAGGGGGGCAGCAGGAAGTGTGCCTCAAAGTCCTGTATTTCCAGCCATTTTCACATAGGACTACGCCATCTTCAGGGAGGGGAGTGTTTGAGGCCACAGTGGAGCCAGGGAAGTCTACAACCCAGCTCCCTGACTTCCGTTTCATGGTCCCCCAGAGCTGTCTGCAGGGACCCCCAGGGCAGAATGAGGGCTTTTCGTATCAGCCAGTGCTTCTCAGGGCTGAGGTCGTATGGGAGCGCAGGAGGAAGGGGACCCCTGGTCCTCTCGAAGTACTCAATGAACTTTGCCAGCCAGAGGCTGAAGGGCCTCTGTGTGGGGACCAGCATGGTGAGTACTTAGCCGATCCACATGCAGAGTCGTTAACTGTGGATGCAGCAAGTCTCTATTAGCCTCCCAGTCAGGACCCTTGGAGCCCCTGCCTATCACCATACAGGACCCTGAGGCCCTGCCCTTGCCCAGCCTGTCCTGGTGTATCCCAGGACCCCCCACCCCAAGCTCAGCCCAAAGGTACCCCAAACTGTGCAGATGTTGAGGAAGGATGGGAAAAGGAGAGAGACTCTCAGAGAACAAGTGATAATGAGGGCAGAGGCTGCTGCTAACAAGGGTCTAACAGTGTGGTACAGCCAGTCTCCTCTTCGGGAAGCCTCTCCTGGTCTTCTGGTTGGCAGGCATGGCCCCTTCCTGTGTCCCAGGAACATTGTGGGTCCTCTGTCTCAGCACACCCGTCAGTCAGCAAAGGCAAACATGGCCGGGAACCTCCCTGGTTCCTCCGCCCAGAGGCCCCATCTCCTGCCTGGATTCAGAGGAGGACAGCAGCCAGTCCCTCCACCCAGGGCTCTGCATCCCAAGATGGGGGACAGAGACAAGGCACAAGCTGGCTCCTGGGCAGATGCACAGCCAGCTTCAATTCTGTGACGTTCTGCAGTTCCTCTGTGGCTCTCAGCCTGCACCCAGGCCAGGTAGGGTGGGGACCCATGGAGGTGACTCGGGCGTGGTCTGCTCTCCACCCATCCCAGTTCAGGGCCTGAGTCATGGGAAGGAGTCACGAGGTGGCCTCCCGGCTGCCACCAGCCCAGGTTTCCAGGAAGACAGAGAGGACCCAGGGAGGCTGCCTTTCCCTTCCCCCATCCCGCATCTCCCATCCCCTTCCTCTCTTCCTCCGTGGCCTCCCCTCGCCTCTGTCCTGGACAGCCCAGCCCTGGACAGGGGCCAGCAAAGGACAGAGAAATCCCAGCCCTTAGGCCCAGGCATCCAAGTCCAGAGCCAATCTCTGGATGCCTCTGTCCATGGAACTGCCTATGATGGTGGCAGCGTTCTGTGTCTGTGCTGTCCAGCGTGGCCACCCCTGGCCTTAGTGCCTACCAAGGGCATGAAATGTGGCTTTTGGCCTGGGGGACTGAATTTTTTAATTTGACTGATGATAATACATTTCCAGTTAGATATAGCTACAGGTGACTGGTGCCTACTGTATTGGAGGGTATTCATTCCAGCTGGGTCCAGCCTCCACCCAGGTCCTGAGGCTTCCTCCAAGGTGGGGTTCCCAGGCAGAGGGTGCCTGACACTCATCACTGCCTGGACTCCAGCAAGTGCACCTCCTGTGGCTCCAGGTTGTGCCACCCAGCGCCCCTCCTCATACCAGGGACCCTGGGGGCACCTTGAGAGGAATGGCTGGGTGCTGGCCCCTCCCTGCTCCGGCTATGAACTTCAGACCAGTGGTTCACTCTGCCTGCACCTTCCCTGTTTCGCCTGTAAAGAGGAGGCAGCGACAGGACCTACCTAGGCAGTCTTTCTTATGATTAAATGAGCATCCATGATCCTGGCCTGGACCGTGGTCCTTGCCCTGCAGCCAGGGCCACCTGCCCTCCGTGTGTACTTCCCCACCAGGCCCACTCCCAGCCCTGGATCTCCTGCCTCACTCGCTCAGCCGGGCCCTGCTTCCCTCCCTCTGGGTTGGCAGGCATGCCGGTGCAGGTGGAGGCTTGACCTCATACACCTGGTCCCCCTTCTGCTCCGCGCCTTGAGCTCCCTACCCCCACCTGCCTCCAGTGCCGCAGAACTGCGATTTCCCAGGGACCCACTGTGCACCCCTCATCCAAACCCCACTCCAGCCCTATGGGCCCATCTGGTACAACCCACCCCTGAGGGAAGCCTGTGCTAGCTGACTGAGGGATGCCCCAGTCTCTGCTCCCTGGAAAGGCAGGGATCCAGCAGCCCCGTCAGATGCCAGCCCGTTCCAGCCCTCACCGCAGCACTCCTCCCTGCGCCTGCCCTTGGCCCTCCTGCTCCAGCCTCAGCCCAGGCATGTTTGGAAAAGTCTTCTCAGGGGCCTTACTCAGAAGCTGTGGGAACTGATGGGACACTGTTGCCCCAAATCTCAGCCTCCTCTCACAGATTAAGGAAGCCATTCGGGAGATGCAGGCTGGAAAGGCTGAGGTCCCTGCAGCCCACGCAGGGCGTGTGCTTCCCGTGGGGGCCCCGGGGGGTGGGTGCCAGGGCCCGGCTAGCCTCCTGAGGGTTCCCCCAGGCTGGGATAGGGGCAGAGGCAAGGCGGGGGCGGGTTGGGGTTAGTGGGAGCCAGCGTCCAGGCCTGCTTTGTACTCTGCCGAGCCTGCCTGGGATGGTGGCTGCCCCACTGGCGCTGGGCAGGGCCATTCCCTGTGCTCTCTGGGAAAGGTGCAGAGAAGTGCAGGCACTGGCCAAGGCCACGCGGCAGGTGGGTCTTGGTCTTGGGCGCCCAGACCCAGCACAGGCAGCTGGGGAGGGAAGGAAGGAAAGGCATCTCCACAGCATGTGGTGGGGACACTCAAGGCCAAGCATGCTGAGGACTTCCTTTGCCCTGTCCTCTGGGCCCCTGGAAAGTCTGCAAGTGCCCAGGCCTGCGCCGGGCAAGGACCTCTGGCTGTGGGGCAAGGTGGTGCCCAGGTTCCTCCTGGGCCTGGCGCTGACGCTGATCCCTCAGCCTTCTCCTGAGGCCAAGGCCGAGCTTATGTAACCCAAGTGGCCCAGCCCACTCCGCAGGTGCCCTTCTCTGCCTGCTCTGCTCTCTCTGGTAGAGGAGGAGGAGGCAGGGCGGGGGTATTTTCGGGCTATTTTCGACCACTCATTTTCACAGCTCTCCTTGTGAGAACCAGGCGTGACTGGCGGGTTTTCCTAACACCCTTTTGGGGACTGTGCAGAGATGCAGGTCAGGGAGAGGCGATGTGGCACCAGCCAGGCAGCCACTAGGGCTACGGGGCTCCCGAGGCAGGGCTCCCTTGGGGCCTTCAAGACCCCTGCAAGTGGTAAACCTGGGTATGCCTTCTCCTGACATTTCCTCAGCAGCTGTGCTGACCAAACTGACTTCACTCGCTGTCCCCATCTGCCCTCACAGCCATTACCAAAGGTGGCCAGGCATGGTCCCATTCCATGGAAGAACCGCGGCTCAGAGGGTTCATGTGTCTTGCTCAAGATCATGCATGACCAGGGACCAGGATTGACACCGACGTTTGCACTCTGACCACAGCAGGGCCCGAGTCATGGACTTGTTCTTGGAGGAGAATCTTCAAGATTGACCAGGCAGAAAGGGAAGAAGAGGGGGAGTGTTGCCTGGGGAATGTAACCTCCTGGGCCAAGAACAGCACAAAACACTTCAGAGCACTGTTTCCAGTCCCCACAATATCCTGGCTGAGGCCTGACCCTGTTCCTAGAAACCTCTGGTCTCTTGTCCCATCTGAGCCCTGGCCCTGGGCACATATTGATCCTGATCCCTGGTCACTGACTGAGCCTTGATTCTGGCACATGCTGGTCCTGATTCCTGATCCCAGACTGAGCTCTGATCCCTAATCACTGACTGAGCCCTGACTCTGGGCACATACTGGTCCCAATCCCTGATCACAGACTGAGCCCTGAGCCTCTGGGTATGCTGGTCAAACCCTGAAGATGGGCACGAACTGCCACCATTCATCCAGTATTTATCACACTCCTCTTTTAGGCTTGGCACTCTGCCCACACCAGCCAATCCTTCACCCCATCCCCACAGCCCTTGCTCCCAAAACAGAGGCTGTGTGGACTTCAGGGCCTGTGCAGGCCACTGCCCCAGCTTCCCCTTCAGGCTCTCTTCTGGGCTTAG